CTCATTTTCCCATTCATCTCAATATCTTCCTGAAGAATATTCAGATTTTGTTCATTCTCCATTTGAATATCCACGGTTTCTATAATAATTTTATCACTTGCTGTTTTCAAATAGTTGGTCATTCTAAGCAATTTTAATGCCAATAAGTGCAATATAAATGTCAAAGATTCCAAAAGGTTTCTCAGAGCAAATTCAAAGAATATTTGGCCTTAGGGTAATCAGTTGTGTAATATTAATGTTTTCCATTCCATATCCACGAGTGTTTTCCAGTGTTCAAACTTCAATTCAAATATTATTTTAGAAACCTAAGGAAAGAAAAAAAACCAAAACAAACAGTTTGTTTTTGTTCTCTATATTCTTATTAATTAACTGTGATCCAAATAAATCACAACCCTTTCTACATTGGGTCAAGAAAAAGTCATATTTTATTGCTCACATTTACTGCAGAATCTCTGTGAGAGTGTTTCACTACAGAAAATGAAAGAAAAGCAAAGGTATTTTTATGAGTTTACTAAAATTCACACATGCATATTAAAGAATAAGCCACAGTTAATTGCTATAGCATGTTTAATAGTTTCTACATTAATGCTTTCCTATCAACTATTTCTGTAATAGCAAAAAAATTAGTTGTTATTCTTTTTGCTAATGATATACAGTAGTTTGCAATTGTTGGATGAGAAAAGTGTCAGGAAAAGATGTCTTCCTTGCTGGAAATATATGAAAAATAAGGAGTGGCCCTTTCAACTGTCTGGGATGGAAAGAGTTACCACTGTAACTCAAGTTTATTTATTTATTTAAGTGTCACCCCTTTAGCAACTCTGGGAGGCTTCCAAACATTAAAATTGATAGACATTAATAAAATAAGTAATATTAAGTACAATTAAAAGATGGGAAAGAGAGTAGCATGAAATACATGGGGAAATGGGGTCTTTCCTTAATCTAATAGCCACCTCCAGAATGATGCACCCCATTGGGGCCCCAGACCAACTGGCAGAGCCATGTTTTCAGGACCTTATGGAAGGTCAGTAAGGAAATGTGGATCTCACCTGTGGGGATATGATGTTCCCCACTTGCTGAAATTCCTTGACTAATGGGGTCTGCAGCATGCCCCTTTTACTGGTATGGGTTGGATGGGTCAAGCCCATTGGTGAGACGATTCTTCAGATAACCTGGACCCATGCCACAAAGGACTTTAAAAGTGATAATCAACACCTTGAATTGCTAATGCAGCTCGCAAAACAGTGATGTAACATCGGCCACCCTAGGGACCAAAAGAACTGCCTGTGCCACCACATTCTACACCAGTTGTAGCTTCTGAATACTCTTCATGCACTAGTTATAGCTTCCAAATACTCTTTAAGAGGAACCCCCTGTAGAGCAGGGCTCAATATTAGAACCTCATTTCTAACATTAGTGAATATTAGAAATGAGCGGTACAGAGTTTGTTAGCTTCTAGTATGTACAAATATATATCAATTCAATAACCTGCTTCTCCACACTTGTTTTGAAGCTAATGTTTTAGCAAGTTAGAGCCCTTACCTCCACCCACAAGCCTCTACCATGTAGACTAAAATGAACTGCACCATTGTGTTGATAAGATCTTCATTTATTATAACCAATATATAGAAGAATAAAGTGACAGAGTCCTGTATCAGTATATATATATTTATCAATTTCATATAGCTGCCTATCTTACTGAAGGTGACGCTGGACGATGCACAAACAAATGTATGGATTTGTGTGTATAGATAAACAAATGCATGGATTTTTCTGCTCACAAATGTCTATCAGTGAGTTGCAAAATACCAGACTCCTCTTTATAGCTAATGAGAGCCTTACTGGTTTTCTAAGAAGTGCTACCACAAATTAAAGACCAAAAGAAGCAGCCTTTTCTTTGTTTTTTCTTAGCGGAAAAAAAACTAATTGTAAGCCAAGTGAACTGGACTTATGCCATGTTGCTGGATACAGTGGTTTAACTTTTTCTCCTTTTTCGATTTTCCAAGTAAGCATTCTGCCTCCAGCCCTTTGGTTGAAAAGATAATATGATGGTTAAAGACTTAATATTTTACTCATTTATTGGTCACACATTTATGCTGCAGCATCATAAAACATAACAATCCAATAAAAATGTTCCAGTAACAACTGGTTCTTCTGAAAGTATAAAAATCTTAAAAATAAGAGGTATGTAAATAAAAATTGGAACTACCTTATATTCTAAGCTCTTTAATGAATAAAATTTGTAAAACACTGTGAGACTTCTTAATTTCATATTCAATTTATAATCATGGTCACTAAACATCAAGAGTTGCTTGCATAATTTTAATTTCAGCTACCACGCCTGGGCGTGGTGGAATTATTAGACTATGCTAACCATTGAAGCTCTTTGGGAGTTTTGAGCCAGTCATACACACAAACACACACACACACTTTCCCTGTCACCTACTCTCTTGCTCTCTGCCCAAACTGTGTCACAGATTTGCAGAGGTGTATATTGGGGGAGTACCACCCTGCAATATAGCCCCATACATGAAGCTTAAGGAGCCTGGATATCTCTGCAGGGTTGCTTTGGGGGGGAAACTGGAGAGTTATCTCCCAAAGAAAAATAAATAAATCACTATTCACTCATTAAAAAAGCATTTCACAATACAACTACAAAATTAACATGAAACAAAACCAGGAAAAGCTGTAGCAATTCGTTTTAAAAGACATTCATGATTGAAAATGTAAGTGCAGTTATCCAAACAACTATTCTATCCTTATTCTCTGCTACTGACCTACTAATTTTTTTCTCTCCTAGCCTTTAATGCTCCAATAGCACCTGGCTAGCTAGTTCTCCAAAATCTACTTACCAGTTCACCTACACCAGAGGTAGTCAACCTTTTTATACCTACTGCCCACTTTTGTATCTCTGTTAGTAGTAAAATTTTCTGTAACAGCCCACCGGTTCCACAGTAATGGTGATTTATAAAATAGGGGACAAAACCCCTACCGCCCACCATGAAAGCTGGAACACCCACTAGTGGGCAGTAGGGACCAGGTTGACTACCACTGACCTACACCAAAGTGTAGTGTTCAGACACGACAGCATCTGCCAATTTAATTTAAACATCACACCTAAGTTAGGTCAATGACCCCGTAGTTAGTTACCTGAGCAGAATCCAGTCGATTGCTTCAAATGACAGACACAATCTTGTACATGTCTAGAAAATTCCATTAAATTCAATGGCACATACCCCCAGTTAAGCACATATCTAATATTGCAATCCTTACACCCCACAAAACAACAAAAACCGTATCAGATATTCCAATAAAGCGAAGCATAATAGAAATGTTGGCATCTCTAGATTACATAAAAACCACATACTCTTCCTATCAAAGTTTGAGCGCTCCGATCTCCACCATCCTAACCTTTCTCTTGCTTTCATCCGTTCCACAACTCGCCTCGTTTTGTTTCATGTTTAAGTTTTTAAACAAACTGTATCTTTGTTTTCCTTCATTTTCTGTGACTCGTGTCAGGATACTGAGAATAAAGCGCCGCCGCCGCCGACCGTCAAACCGGGCATCCTCCCAGCACTGGTCGCCCCCCTCCCAAGGATCTTGAGCCCCCCCTCCCCCAATTCAGCCGTTCACACTTCCCCTACGCTCCCCGTCTCTCGGTTTTCGCGGAGGGTGGGACGTCCGGACGGGGCGGTCCCACTTCTTTCCCTGCTCCCGGCTCATCCCCTCACCTACTTCCAATATCAGCGCTGGCAGTGGCGGCGAAAGGACGGTCAGTCGACCCACCGGCCAGGCAGCGGAGACAAACTTAAAACTGCCGGTTTCCGAGTCCTCTCTCAGCGGAGAGACCCAAGGAAGGAGAAGAAGAAGAAAAGGCGGAGAGGAACGGATTGTCAGGCGTATCCTGCCTCTACGAGCGCCCCCTTTCGGCGACCGCCTTCCGTCTGCCCTCCTCTCAAGCACCGCTGAGCTCGGGTTTCATACCTTCAGAAACGTGACCCGGCCTGAAAAAAGCAGCTCGCGCAGGCAGCGATTGGCTGAAGGAATGGTTTCTCTGTCCAAAGTGTGGGCGGGCGCACCTCTGAGATAGCTGTTATTAGCCGCGCCGGGCGTCAGTCCTGTTGTATAATCTTCACGTGTGACTCCATGTTTTCTTTCGGGGAATAAAGCTTGCGGAACCTTTTAGCTGGCGCGTTTTGGCAGATGGCGTTTCCTTCGCTCGTCAGTTCCAATCTTCTCCTATTGAGAGAAAGATGCACCCGAAGGGTGTGGCGGAGAGCGTGCGAAATGATCTGCGTCATGCTTTGGCTGTGTTGGGAATGGGATAGGTCTTCAAACTTGGCAACTTTAAGACTTGTGGACTTCAAGTCCCAGAATTCTCCAGCCAGCACAGCTGGCTGGAGAATTCTGGGAACTGAAGTCCGCAAATCTTAAAGTTTGCCAAGTTTGGGGACCTAGGCATTTTATCTATCTATCTATCTATCTATCTATCTATCTATCTATCTATCTATCTATCTATTATTTATTTATTTATTTATTTGATTTGCCAATTGTTTACAAGATAATAAGTATAAGTGTATACATAGTTGTGAATACATGAAATGGGTACATATAAGAAAAATAAAAGAATAAGAGAAACAATAGGACAGGGACGGTAGGCACGTTGGTGCGCTTATGCACGCCCCCTATTATCGGAACGCATGGGGTGGGGGCTACGGTGACTGAAATGGGCGGGTTTCATACGACACGCTTTATCTGTGTTTACTCAATTCTCATGACGCGATAAGCTAAACCCGGGTATGAGGTTCATGAAATTGGTTCTGGTAGCGCGTTCGTGAGGGGAAGGATTGATTTTCCTTCTCTGTTGTCACCAAACGGAAGGATAAATATTTGTTATTTTGTTTTAATCGGTGTAAAGTAGGACGATTGCGTAATTGTTAGGGAAGTACTCCCAGATTACTGCCGCTTTTTCTGATAGAAGCAGAAATCCTGCCAGACTACAGTACTGTGCGTTTGGTCACTTCGTGGCAACTTGATATTTTAATTTAACAATGTGGAAAATGGTCGGGGGTTGATGAATTACCCATGTAGTCTACATCTCCGGGGTGTTGAGTGGTCTTCTGTCCAAATGTTCACCTGCTCCAACCTTGATTAGCTTTTTGAGATCAGAAAAAATCAGCTAATTTGCTATGATGTGCCTGATGCCAAATTGGAGGAAAATTGTAAAAAGTAGAATGAGATACTGCGGTACAGTTTTGTGGTGTTGCCAGCAGCTGCCAGTATTTGGTGTTGGTGCAGTATATTGGATTTTTTTTAAAGAAGTAGAAACATTAAGGGCTGGTAGCAACTTTTACGACTAACAAATTTTATTCAAAAGTGTAAGCTTTCATCAGCTGAAGTTCACTTTAGATGCATTAATTAAAGGATTTAAACTGAGGTGAGGCATGAGGGGAAAGGAGGCACAGGTTGGCTGTGTGGATATGTTACAGTTGCCTAGTTATATCATCCACAGGTATTTTAACAATTAAAATTGTAATGTATTAAAAATCCATTGTTTGTTTTGACTTGAAATTGCCTGAAACCTTTTCATATATATGAATTCAGCAAATTCTTAGTGGTGAAGACTCTAGACTCTTCTTAGAGGTTGAAATACTCATACTATTTTCCTTGCTTTGATGGGTGGCTGTGCAAACAAATATGACATCACATTGCCTAGAACAGATCTAAGAGAGACCAAAATGAGAGATAACTTATTTTTTCTGATAAATCCTTTTGAGTCTTTACTAATTCCAACACTCCTTTTTTTGTATTTTATATCAAGACACAAAAAGGAGAAAAGAGAATTGTTTCCATACCTTATTGCAAACTGGTGTACAACACCTTTGATGTTAAAATGTTAGTGCAAACTACAAAATATAAAGAACTCTATATTTTATCTTGAGATTGGATCTATTGGTTCTTTTGTTTCTTTTACATTTTTGCTTCCAATTATAGATGGAAATTCTCAGCAAATCAGAAAGAAATACTTGTTTTGATTTTTAAGAAAAGGCGAAAAGAAAAATATTCAAAAAAAGTTATTTAGGAATATGTATTTATAAAATATTTCTACAGATATTCTTTTTCTAAAATTGATAGGTTTTTTTGCATAATGTTAAATAGTGCCATACTTCTAAGAACACGGAATATTCCTAAAAGGTTCAGTACAGATCAGTAACAAAACCAGTGTTTTAACTGCTTCAGTAAATATTTTTGTGGAGCTCTTTTTTAATTCTACTATCATTAAAAAAAACAAATTAATGATGTGTTTACCTTTCTCTTTTCCACCATGTAAGTCTTTAGGAGTAATCTTGTAATCTAGGATACTTGGGTGTAGTTTCTGGACTTGCTGGCACCGTGGTTATGTAAAAGTTGTAATGTGATGACTCTCCATGCCATGTAATTTTGTTTTGTATTTTTGTTGATATTACCATGTCAGCTTTATCCAGAAATTCATTTTCTTTTAGAAATAATAACAAACATGAATAATACCAAGGAGTACAATCTGAATGGCTACAGGAAATGCAATGTTTAATTATCTAAATACTTCCTTCACTAATTAAATTAAAGGAAGTTGGTGACATGAAATTGCAAATATGTACAAATATTTACTTGTCTTGTAGGTCACTGCCCAACTAGATAATCTATAGAAGTAATCAACAGAGACCCTTTAAAGGAAAAAATCCTGAATCCTGAAGAACTCCCAATTCCTTTTAAAGTTTTTGGATTAAAAGAAAAAGAATTAATGGTGCTTCTTCTGCAGTTCTATTAATTACATCACCCTTTACTACTGTAAAATACAGTTTTTAAAAACTTGTGTGTACTACACTTTAACAGCTAGCATAAGCAACAAATATGAGGGAACGGATGTGAGAAGTAATAAAAATGTAATATCATCTGAGTTAGTAAGTAGTGATCTCATGGAATCAACATAGCCTACAAGCCAACTCAACCCCTTCAAAACACCCTAAGTAAATCAAAAGACCAAGCAGCCCCAGAAGGAAAAACAGAAGTGATCTACAATGTACAGTGTAATGACTGTAACAATTACTACATATGACAAATAGGCATACATTAGACTGGCAAAACGCCCCTATGAACACAAATTAGCACATTTCACAACAACGTACAAACTTAACCATAGTTTCAACTGGGAAACTGACCATACGAGACCATACAATAGACTTGGTCATGATGGTGAATATTCTGATATTGATATTAGCTTTGCTGGAATGTCTGTTTGATCACCAGAGGTCAAAGGAAAGTGGTTCTTTTTTGAAGTATGAAAGCATATAAAACATCATAATCCTATTATAGGAGTCTTTAGTATTGTGATGATTTGTTTCTTGATTTAATTAAATAATGTAGAATAAAGTAATAAAAATAGTAATATAGTATGTCCATGTTCTCCATAATCTAGGATAATGCAAGTAGGGAAGGATGCTTTCAGTTCTTTTTTGGGGGGGATTTAACTTTTCAAACAAATAAAGTAAAGTAAAAAATGGTTTAAAACTCAATTTTCCAAAACTTCATCAGGAAGTTGCTAAGAAAAAACAGGATGGGAAGGAAGCAAGAAAATAAATAAAAATGGAGCAGATATTTCCGCCATAACTGCCTAATTCTAAGCCTTTCTTACTTGCTTCTCCATCCTTTTAGTTGATGGAAGAGTTCTAGACTAGAGGACTTAAGCTTTTGTGATTCTCCTCCATTGTTGAACCACCAGTGTACCTAAATGTAGTTGTTAATGATAAGGCTTCTTTCAATTAAGGCATAGTGAATTTTTCCTTCTAAACTAAATGTTCAAATCCATGACAGAATGAGGTTACTGCCTTGGTGACTCACTGCCTCATAACTGGATTTAACACTCACAAACAACATGTAATTGGACTGCCATGGTTTTGCTTTTTCATTCACAGATGAGGCTTTTTAAATGCCATATCAGTAGGAAGCTGCAACTGCAGAGAGAGAGTTCAGTACCTTTTATGTTTAAAGTTGTGGACTTTTTTTTCTTAATAAAGAAAAAAAAATGAACGCTTGATAATTTGGAGCTTCTGTAATGGATGGTAGGAGAAAAATATTCTGGGGAAAAAATACATGTAAAATAGAACAGGCACTATCAAGTTCTGATACTGCCTTAAGCAGATTGTTTTATATTGTTGTTGTTGTTATATTAGTTTGCTGCCCATCTCACCATGTATATTTCTGTACATTACTTGAATCTAAGAGTAAATCCACTAAAAGCAATAGAACCTAAGGCATGCCTAATGTAAGCTTCTTATTTATAAAGGGTCTACTTTAACTAAGTCTGGACCCTACCCATTGAATTAATGTTCATTTATACAGTGGTAATTGTTGTAAACTATTTTTAAGAATTAGAAACAGGTTCAAAACTCCTAGTTTGAAAAGAATGAGAGAAAAAATTGTAACTGAAACAGAGCTACAGCTTATATGATTTTGTTTAGTTCCTTCATTCCTACCCATTCCTTGTTGCACACCCTCAATAAACTTGATTGCTTGACGTAGGGCTATAAAAGTCTGGAGAACTAAAGTATCAAAGAGTGAGATCCTTCTGCACCATTAGTGGAAAGAAGGTATCATTTAAAGTTTCACCTATCTCTTCTAAACTGGCACAGCATAGGGTGAGGTGGGGTATGGGCTCAGTGTCTGTATTTCCTCATCATTTGAAGAATCCATCTAAGAGATTTGTCCTGAAGTAGAGAACTCTTACAGTCCTACACCTGAGGCATCTAAAACAGGAGTGTCAAACTGGTGGCCAGAGGGCCAGATGCGTCAAACGCAGGCCACGCCTACCCCAGGTCTGCGAACGGAAAAACTGTGATATGTCACATGATGGCAATGTGACGGTGCGAGTTTGACACAAGTGGTCTAAAACATAGATTCATGTTAAAATCCCAGGTTGAATTGCATGTTTCAATGAATTCCTAAGTGAAAGGAATCCGATGCAACATCTATGCAATGCAGAGTTGAATATAGCACTTTTCTGCAAATGTGAATGCAAAGTTATTTGTGGTGCAGTTGTTTACAGATTCAGAATAACAACTAGTGAATATGACAAGTGCAAATGTACTACAGTATTATGCTAAGACATTTTAATGAAAAAAATAACAAATTTAATTGGCTCCACAATGAGTGAACTTCTGAAATCAAGTTTCACAAATTCAGGATTGCAACAAGTCTTGAGACCAAACTAGCTATGATAATGCTTAGGCCTAATACAATTTGCAAAAAAAATGATAAAATACAGCTTTTACAAGAATCCTCATCAAGATGATAATATTACTGTCCCCATTATTTTAGATACTTTGGTATAAGCAGAAGTTTAGGATTTAATTTGAAGCTATGCCATGCAAGATTGTGTAGTACTTTATCCATAAGATCAATCTGGAAGCATACAGTCCTAAACCATGCAGCCCATTTCACCAGACACTGCTTTTTTCAACTCTGGTGTAAGACAAGTAGAGCAGTTGGAAATTTGTGGCTTCTAGATGGTCAACCATAATCACCTGTATAAGCAGTGATATGAAATGCTGAGAGTGGCAGTTCAGCAGCACTTTGAAAAATACAGCTTTCTATTATGATTTACAAAGCATGTCTAGGCCAAAATGATTTTCTAGAATAAGGGAGGAAAAAAGAATATTAAACATACCAAATTTTCTTGTCCTGCACCACTTTATCCTATATCTAGCTATACAGCATTGTAAATACAGATATTTCAGTTCAACAGACTGAAAACAGGAGCAACAGTTAGTACCATACATTTCTGTTTAATTAAGGTTGAGGGTGTCTGGAGTTTTCTATAATTTACAATATGAAAACATGAAGCACAATTGAAAAACAGGTTCTCATCAGCCTGAATTAATTACAGTTTCTCACACTATTTTTATAATTAAATATGTCTTTAAATATCAGCATGTATATACATATTGATCCCTTTATCATTTCAACAAAATATCACATGCTGAACACAAGTCTAATGGAAGCTGTGGACAAGGATAAATCAAGTATTTGCTTGCATATAAATACTGTTGAGTGACCTTAGGAATCCAGTCATGAACTCACAAACTGCTTCAAAAGTTAACAATGATGTTTGCCCCAGATTTCACTGGATTTAATTTTGTTGCCCAAGCTACCCATATCTTGGAATATTGCAAGACATTGCGAACCCTTGCCTTAAAAATCTCTTGTAAGTTTTTAAGGTATTATTTGTATTCAACTTGAGGGTACAAGCTTTGTCCTCTTAATTATGCTTGAGTCATATCATAGGATTATCATAGCTCTAGATATTGCTATGAATCTGTTTTAAACTGCTGTTATAAAGATCAGTTCTTATGAATCTGAGGTGGTTTTTATGGTATAAAAAGGTGCCTAATTTTAAAAACAACTTGCCATTATTTAATATCCTTTCAATCAAAGCCCATTTGCATCATCCCTTTTATTTTTATCTGATGATTCTTTGTCATTCACATGAAATAGCTTTCAAGAATGAGCATTTTTAAAGCATTTTTAAAGAACAGCATTCTCATAATTTAAGACACAGCAAGAAATTAATGTATGAAACTAATTTGGCAGTAGTTTAACTGGCACGCTATTTTTCTAGAAACAGCACACATCCCCAACAAAATCAAAACAAATCCCTGAAAACTGAACCCTAAACAAACCTTATACATTGTTGCAAGCAACCAGCCCCAAGACGTAAACATTAAATTTCAATTTCATTTGTGGAATTAACAGTAAAGTTGAACGTAGCCACATCAAGCCATTTGAACTTAGTATTTCAGGTGCAGAAATAAACTGGGGGGGAAAAGAATGAAAATATTGTTAATCTGTATGTTCTCCTAGTTTGAGAAATGAGATTTGTCTGCTGAGCAGACAGATGCACAGCAACATATTTTTAGCAATAATGGATAACACATAGAAATAAAATAGTCATTTCCATTCTCCAGATTTAAAACAAATGTCTTAAATTGGGAACTATCTCATTCAATAAAATCACAAAAATTTTACTAAAATTGAGACCATGACTCACCTCTGCTTCATGATTCATGCCACCAAAATGGTGCCTTATTTTCATCTATAGACTTAGCAAATTCTATTTCTACAGTAAATCCTGGAGATTTATATTCCAGTCACTACTTTAAAAACTAAACAAATGAATAAACTTCAGAGAATCAATGTAAGCTTTTTTCTTCTTTCTTTCTGAGACTTGTTTGGATTTCACTAATTGATGTGCTTTGAATTGGAGAGAGCTAACAATTTAGGCTCTTTTTAAAACAAGAAATTACCGTATTTTTCGTACTATAAGACGTACTCCCCCCCCCAATGGAAATGTCTGTGCTTCTTATAGAGTGAATATTGTGGCGGGGCGGGGCGGGGGGGTTGGTGAAGCACTGTTTGCTGCTGTTGCCTGTAACTGCTGTTCGCTGCCACCGGGGAACTCTGGAGCCTTTGCTGCGAGCAGCTGATCAGTGTTTGGATCGGCCTCCCGGAATACCGCAAATCAGCTGTTCTAGGCAGCCGAGATCACTGCCGCTCGCCATCACTAATTGTTTCTGTTTGCTGCTGCTGTTTTCCACTGTCACCAATCGCTGCCAATCGGCAACAGCGATCAGTAGTGGTGGTGATGGGTAGCAATAAGTGGCAATTCTGCCGCCTAGAACAGCTGATCAGCAGTATTCCAGAAGCCTGATCCAACCACCAATCAGCTGCTCAGCAGCGAAGGCTCCAGCATTCCCCGGTGGTGGCAGCAGCTCAGCTCAGCTCAGTTGACTGGTGGTGGGCGCAACGGAATGGAGCCCTGCCGAACCACCTGCTGGGGCTGCGATTACGTGCTGAAGCTGACCAGGCTGTTGCTTGCTACAAGGATGCTAGCCAGATGAATACCGGATGGATGCTGGGAGGCAAAGGCAGATTTTTTTCCCCCTTGTTTTCCTCCTCTAAAGCTAATGTGTGACCTATGGTCCGGTGCGTCTTATAGTGCAAAAAATGCAGGTAGTTCAGTCTCTCCACCTGTTCCGTATTACCAATATTCAACCAAATGAGAAATGGGAGTAACTTGCTTCAAAGCTGCCATGTTTTCACATTAAATGATTTGATTTTCACAATACAAAAGGAAAAGAAAACTGGTCATTAAAAAAGATGTTCAGAGGAAATCAGGTTAATTAATCCACTCTGCTGAAATGCTGATCATAAGGGAAAAAAGTCATATTGATACAACCATTGCCATTTCCTTCTAATTAAAATAATAAGTATAAAGAGTGCTCAGCATAACAGATCAGTACAGGTAGTGTTCAAATTAAAACTATAACTGAATCCAAATTTTTGGTTGCTAAGCGAGACAGTTAAGTGAGTTTTTCCATTTTTCAATCATTTTGCCATAGTTAATTGCCATAGTTGATCAAACAGTGTTACTAACTTAACAATTGCCATAGTGATCATTGCAATTGTTAAGTTAGCAACACTGTTGTTAAGTAAATCTGGCTTCCCTATTGATTTTGCTTGTCAGATAACAATCTTTTGTAATATCGCTTTATAGAAGTGGGGAAGGAGGCAATGCCAAGAAAATTTGTCAATGCTCTGATCAGTCATTTATTCAGAAGTGTTGACTGATCATTATAATGGTCAATCAAAATGAACATGAAATGAAGTCATTCAAAATGAACATTTGTGTTACTCAAAATGAACATTTGTGTTACTCA